AATTCCCCAGTGTATGCCTCGTGGTCTAGGTCAACCAGCGCCGCCATACATCACGGAGCGGGGGTCAACTACTAAGCCACGCCTACCCCCGCTATTTAAGACCTGACCTCGTGGTGACCTGTCTCTTTCTACCTACACCAACCAGCCAGCAACACCTCTCCTCCTCCACCTGCCTGGCGGTCCTCGCTCCCGCCGGAGAGCATGGCGACCCACAAGCTGGTCCTCCTCTGAGCACCCTCACCAACCAGCTCTCTCTACATCACGCTTGTAACCATGCTGCCTTCCCAGCACCAAGCTGCATTGTACATCCAATACAACATGTATATAGAGAGCACATTGTGAGTTTCCTTTCTCCATCCCATCCTGAGTGTGAACCCCAAAAATCTCATACCCCACAAATGGTGACTCCCGGAGATTCGCACTCACACAGGATGGAGGAGAAACTGATCACGCTCCCAGTCTTCAAGCAACATGGAAGACTGGCTTATCCACACAGAAGCAGCTCTCATCGGCTCTACAACTACTGTCTCTACACCGCAGGTTAGACACCCTAGAGCAGCACTGCTTCTCTAAGCAGACACCAGCTCCTCTTCCTGCCCCAAGCACCACGTCCTACCGACCCCAGCACACCCGTCCTGCCTCAGACGCCGCCCCCGGCCCAGCAGTAACCCCTGCCGCCCCTGATGCGGCCCCTGCTCCTGACGCGGACCAACACACCCGTCCTGCCTCAGACGCCGACCCCGGCCCAGCAGTACCCCCTGCCGCTTCTCCTGACGCGGCCCCTGTTCCTGAGTGCGGACCCACACACCCCTCTTTTCTCCCTCAGGTACTCCCTGCTAATGTCCTGCACCCTGCTGCTGTCGTGGACCCAGCTGCTGTCACGAGCCCTCATCCGCTTCTGCTGATGCAGCCCCTGCTCCTGACCCAGGCCCACACACCCCAGCAGGCGCATCTGACGACTCTGTACCTGCCGTGAGGGAAGCACAACATTCATCGCCTCCACACACCCTTTTTCTCCCTCTCTACTCCCACAGATATTGTGTATCTAGACAGTTGTCTCCAGCGACCGGCTCATCCACGCCATCGCCGTTGTCTCACATGAGGCATGCACCGCCCGTTCTGCCTCACATGTGCTATGCAACCCTGCAGACAACAAGTCTCCTACACCGCCTGGAGGGAAGGGGGAGTATTGTAGTGGATTTCTCCCCTACAAACACTGTTTGTCGCTGCGTAGCCGACCCCACGAATTCCACAGTGTGTGCCTCGTGGTCTAGGTCAACCAGTGCCGCCATACATCACGGAGCGGGGGTCAACTACTAAGCCACGCCTACCCCCCCGCTATTTAAGACCTGACCTCGTGGTGACCTGTCTCTTTCTACCTACACCAACCAGCCAGCAACTCCTCCTCCTCCGCCTGCCTGGCGGTCCTCGCTCCCGCCGGCGAGCATGGCGACCCACAAGCTGGTCCTCCTCTGAGCATCCTCACCAACCAGCTCTCTCTACATCACGCTTGTAACCATGCTGCCTTCCCAGCACCAAGCTGCATTGTACATCCAATACAACATGTATATAGAGAGCACATTGTGAGTTTCCTTTCTCCATTCCATCCTGAGTGTGAACCTAACAATCAAAAACCCCACAGGCTCGTAACACTCGTCTTGTCCGCGATGCCCACCATTTCTGTGTGGACGTTGGCCACACTAGAAAATAACCCGTTATAGTATATCCTTCTTTCCTCAGACATTCAAACTGTGGAATGTTTTGCCTTTTGTATTTCCATCCACTTGTAATCTGTCTCACTTTAAAAAGTTAGGTTTTCTTTCTCCAATTTTAACTCTTATTTTATTATTTTCGCCCTCCAAGTCCCGTTGTAGGTCGATGACCTGTGCCCGGGTGGGATATTCCCCACAAAAAAAAAAAGTTGGGGTGGCTAATCATCAAGTGATCCAATCATTTTAGGGAGTAAACTATAGGAGCTGAAAATGGAAATGGTTTTATAGCTAACTTCTAATTTAATCTTGTGGCCTGCAGTCAATTTGATTTTTTTTCACGAGACTGCACTGGAACTAAGTACAGTGAGACCTCTATTTAACGCACTATATGGGAAATTATAGTCTGGTATATCGAAGTCCATTAGATATGAAACTATATAACGGACTAAGTGGGAGAGTACTGTCCATTATATCGAGATCCGTTACCTGTGAAACCTCCTTATTACGTTAGGTTGATGTCCAGTAAATGGCGGTTTACTGTATTCGTGATCATCTATGCATTATCCTAAGTGGGTCCTTATACAAATATGAATTATCTACCAAATAAAATTAAATAAAATCAGACCTATACTGCAACCAACAGATTGACAGGCGGGATAAAAGCGTGGAAGTCAAGGCATTATATTCTTTGTTTTACAGAAAATAATTCCCGAAAATGTCTACAGTAAGACCTTGTAAAGTAAATCACTCTTGAAGTTTCATGTGATAATCAATTGGCTCTCAGTGCGTCAGTTGTCTGGAAGGTGAAGCATTGTGGGGGGATTGTTATTGTTTACAGCGTTCCCATGGTTACAAGCTGATAGGCAACGGTGTCATATGAACGAGGGAGAGCGTCTGGCAGTATAGCGTAATGGAGACAGTGTATCCTTTAGCCACTACTAGAAACTAAACAATTTGTACTACATCTCCCATCTTACTATATGCACCCTAGTGGAGGTTTGTTCTCGCTCCCCATTGCCAGATTACCGTTATTAATCACATTAATCATAGAGACAATAGATAACTTAAACTTATCTTCCCGACAGAACTTATTATTATTATTATTATTATTATTATTATTATTATTATTATGATGTTGGGCTCCTTAACTTTAGTTATAGCGGAGTATTGGTCGGTCCGTGGAAAGTGGACGGGGTGAGAGCAGCTGCGGGCGGAGGCTGTGTGGTCTGGGCAGCCAGTGGAGGATTGGTCACCACGCCCGTCACACACCCACACGCCCATCCTGACGGCGAGGCAGAAGAAAATGATGATGATCACCAAGGTCCTGGTGACGGTGATGGATCTGTGTACACCTGTCTGCCTCCCCTCACTGTCATAGATGTGGTGGAGGCGAGTATCACTCCTTATTATCTAATCATCTCTCCCTCTCTCCATCCTAAACATTCTCTACGTCTCTGTCTCTTCCTTCTGTATCTCGTCATCTTGCTATCTTGAACCTCAGTTTCTCTCCATAGATACATATGCTTATGTTTTTAAAAATATTCCCGACAGAAATTAAACAATCTCTTCCCGACAGAACTTAAACAATCTCTTCCTGACATAACTTAAACTATCTCTTCCCGACAGAACTTAAACAATCTCTTCCCGACAGAACTTAAACAATCTCTTCCCGACATAACTTAAACAATCTCTTCCCGACAAAACTTAAACAATCTCTTCCCGACATAACTTAAACAATCTCTTCCCGACAGAACTTAAACTATCTCTTCCCGATTGAACTTAAGTATCTCTCCTGGACAGACAAGCCCGTGCGGGAGCCATTTGGTGGTGGGTGGGCAGCTCGCGGGTGGCACGGGCGTCGTTATGTGGTGGGGGTGACCATTGGAATCCTGCCCAGATGGTGATGTCATTCTGGAAGGTCATGTCATCTACCAACTGGAATATAGGTCAGTAGGATTCATCTACTTAATACTATTACTACTACTTCTTCTATTGCTACCATAGTCTACCAGCCTCTTATCATTCTACTTATTAGTCTACTTCGCTTATTTAGCCTACTTAGTCTTATTCTACCTGATTTATCTACTTAAGTCTAAAATGTTCTACCAGGTTTACCAACCTATTATATTATAATTTATCTACTTATTCTACCAAATTTAGCTACTTGTGCTACCCAATATACCAAACTTATCATTTAGTCTACCAAACTTATTTACTTATTGTAATAAAAAACTTACTACTCTACTAATCGTGTACTTCTTCTACCTGAATCATCTACTCAGTCTATCAATTTTCGAGTTCATGTCAGACTCATCTACCAGTGACTCACTCTACCACTCTCGTTTACTTATTACAGCGCTGACGGGGACTATCTAGCCATCTTGTCAACTCGCCAGAACTCGAGGACGACCAACAACGCCAGGCTAACACCTGAAATCGCGGACGCTTTTGAAGGCGAAGATATAGCTGAGGAAAAGAGAGAAGAATTGGTGTTGTCGTTATGGAGGTGGTCGTCCACGTCGCCCTTAGTATCGCCAGAGTCGCCACCATTAACGTCAGCACGGGTATCAGTGCACCCTCGGCTCCAGCAGGTGGTGATGACGACACTGCGTCAGTTGAAGGCTACGCAAGTCACACGTATGTCGATGGCCCGAGGTTTGCCCAGTGGCATGGTGGTCGTCATGTTGGCAGGTAGGTACAAGTACAGGTACAGGTACAAGTACAGATACAAATTCAGGTTTAAATGTAGGCACAAGTACAAGTGGTCGCCCTGCTGTCAAATAAAGGTACAATTTTGAGAGCTGGTACAGGTACAAGTACAGGTATACATGTATAGGTCCAAATTAAGGTAAGAGTACAGGTACAGGTACAAGTACAAGAACAGATTCAGTTAAAAAGCTGCAGGTGTAAGTGCAGATACAGGTACAAGCGCAGGTACAGTATAGGTACAATTAAAGGTATACCTAAGGAATGTTTTTCTCTCACCCGTCTTCCCACAGAGAACTTTCTCTCCCCCTCTCTCACTTGCCTTTCCTGTATAAGTTTCTCCCTTTCACACAGTGACTGTGTATCTCATTGTCTCTAAAACTCTTCTTCTGACATCACTCAATTTTATAGCTTTTTTTTTCCATTTTTCTCACACCATGTGACTATCCCTCTCTCAAAGTCTCTCTCCCTACAGTGGAGGAGGAGGTACAAATATGGCGGGTTGAGTCTGGTCCACTGGGACGAAGGTTCGTGTGTCACACCTTCGGTTTTGGTCTTCTGTCACCTGAAACTGTCCACACCATGTGGTGCCTCGCTCTTGATGCGGTAAGTGATTAGGTGGGGGACTGTCTGTATTATTCTTTACTTTACTTTATCTTCTTCTCCATTGGTCGGCTCCCCATGGACGCCTTTTCACACTTATTGAGGATAATTTTCGAGCAATACTTTCCTGTACGCATCTTTCCCAATTGACTTCCTCGGGAAAAATTTTAGAGGTTTACATATCTGGAACTAGCGGTGTCTGCCCCACCGAAGTTCAGAAAATTGTCAGGGCAAAATTTTGGGAGGGGGGGGGGGTGGGGTTACTGCTGCGTCTGGTTTCGAAATCATTAGTACCATGGGTTCCCGGGCACCCCAAATGGAATATAGTTTTTTTTTGATAAATAATTGTACATATGTGTGTATAATTATGTTCTTCAGGTATCTAGCGAACGATTAGTAATGTCAATAAAGGGTTACTACAAAAATTTCCCATACTCATAGTTGATATTCATTTATTGCCAAAAGGATTACATGATTATAGATGAAGGGATGTTTGTTTTCACCAAATCATCAGAAACAATAAAGAAAAGAATATTTATTACTCTGAGTCTTCACCCAAATCAGTATTTTGGCATTGAGAGCACTGCACAAACACTTTGCTGTGGTCACTACACACGTGTTCACCACAAGTATTAATTTATAGTTGATGATTCAAGATATTCAAGGTAATAACACATTCATTTAACAGATAGTAAATAAGTATAATCTGTGCATCACCCCTCATTCCTTCTAACATAACTTGATTATCAAATGGCATTTAGGATTCATGTGTCTTCAGCTCTCTGCCAGCCACCAAGGTTAACTCAAAGGTTATACTGTTGATGTTATATTATATTCTGACAAAAAATCTGGGTGGTGGCAGCAGCTTTTACTGTTCAGTAGTTACTGAAATGAATGCTTACTGGTGTACAATAAAAATGGGTTTCCAGATACATGGACAGAACAGAAGTAAATAAACACGCTTGTACAAATAATTAATCAGCTAATTTCCAACACAACTGTGCATCAGCAGAGTGAGAGACTGCTCCCACGATATTACTTCTTATTTTGTGACTTGTTCAGTGTTACCGATGACTTAATAGGTACAGTAATAATTGTACTTTTGGCTAACCCAGACAAGCGTGGAAAATAGCTGCAAAACGTTGATGATGATGCAGTATCTTTGTTTCAGGTAGCACTGGGTGTGGACAGCGGATGGGTGATGGTGAGTGTGGGCGGGGAGGTGGTGGCACGAGTGGGCGGGGACTCCAGTGGTCGAGTAAGGCCATGTCATGAGGGCCCTCTTACTGACCTCTATCTCCATGACTCTCATCTCCTCACCCTAGGTCAGCTCAGGTCACACCAATCTGTGGATAATAATTATACAATATTTTCTAAAATACTCAATCTTTCGGGATTACGTGAAGATTAGGAACCTCAGCTTATTTCACCTAACTGAGCCTAACCTAACCACACCACCCCAGGTAGTATTAGGATGTTTAATAATCAAGTGAAGCAAGATGAGGTGGCTATCTCCACTTGCTCTACTGTAGCTTTCGAATAAAACATTAGGTTTTAGAATGAAGATGTGGTTTTAGAAAATAGAAATGAAATATTATAATTAAATTTTAAAGGAAGAGCGAGAAAAAAGAACTAGCAACAGGTGGTGTTACAGGTGGTGATGGTTGGCTACGAATCTGGGAAGCAGAGACGTTAGACGAAGCTGTACTCAGAGTGACAGGTGAGTCACTACTGTGTGTGTGTGTGTGTGTGTGTGTGTGTGTGTGGGCACAGGGTGGTGTAATGCATCTAGTGTGGCAGCATTGTGTTAGTGTTAAGATGAGGGCACTGCTCGCTTCAGTTACCGTCACTGGCTAACCCTTATGGCGAATAGGGAAGAAACATGCATAAGTCCACCCCTGCCAGTACACAGCCTCTTCACCGTCATATATATATATATATATATATATATATATATATATATATATATATATATATATATATATATATATATATATATATATATATATATATATGTGTGTGTGTGTGTGTGTGTGTGTGTGTGTGTGATTAGTCAAATGGGTCCCAATCCTACTGGAGTCTAACCTGACCTACCTAATAATGATAAAGAAGTCCGAATCATCACGTGCCTCTCAGTCAATGGACCCTAATTTCATTGACTCTATCGTAATAATTAAGATAGCTTTGACTGACACACACTCACACACACACACACATAAATGGGCGCTCATTCCCGAAAAAAAAAATTATACAGTTTTTGAACCCGAGAAAGAAGGGGGGGTGGGGGGTTATGTAGTGAGTGTCTTCTAGGTATAGTGTTTATCTTCCTGCCGGTGTAGTGTGTATGCTGCAGGTGGTGTAGTGTGTATGCTGCAGGTGGTGTAGTGTGTATGCTGCAGGTGGTGTAGTGTGTATGTTGCAGGTGGTGTAGTGTGTGTAGGTGGTGTAGGTGTGTGTTGCAGGTGGTGTAGTGTGTATGCTGCAGGTGGTGTGTGTGTATGTTGCAGGTGGTGTGGTGTGTATGTTGCAGGTGGTGTGGTGTGTAGTGTGTATGCTGCAGGTGGTGTAGTGTGTATGCTGCAGGTGGTGTGGTGTGTGTGTTGCAGGTGGTGTGGTGTGTATGTTGGTGGTGTGGTGTGTGTGTGCAGTGTGTATGCTGCAGGTGGTGTGGTGTGTGTGCTGGGTGGTGTAGTGTGTATGTTGCAGGTGGTGTAGTGTGTGCCTGTGGGTGGTGTATGTATGCTGCAGGTGGTGTAGTGTGTGTGTTGCAGGTGGTGTGTGTGGTGTGTATGCTGCAGGTGGTGTAGTGTGTATCTTGTAGGTGGTGTAGTGTGTATCTTGTAGGTGGTGTAGTGTGTATCTTGTAGGTGGTGTAGTGTGTATGTTGCAGGTGGTGTAGTGTGTATGCTGCAGGTGGTGTAGTGTGTATGCTGCAGGTGGTGTAGTGTGTATGTTGCAGGTGGTGTAGTGTGTATGTTGCAGGTGGTGTAGTGTGTATGCTGCAGGTGGTGTAGTGTGTATGCTGCAGGTGGTGTAGTGTGTATGCTGCAGGTGGTGTAGTGCGTATGCTGCAGGTGGTGTAGTGTATGCTGCAGGTGGTGTAGTGTGTATCTTGTAGGTGGTGTATGCGTATGTTGCGGGTGGTGTGGTGCGTATGTTGCAGGTGGTGTAGTGTGTAAGCTGCGGGTGGTGTGGTGTGTATGCTGGGTGGTGTAGTGTGTATCTTGTGGGTGGTGTAGTGCGTATGTTGCGGGTGGTGTGGTGCGTATGTTGCAGGTAGTGTAGTGTGTATGCTGCAGGTGGTGTAGTGTGTATGCTGCAGGTGGTGTAGTGTGTATGTTGCAGGTGGTGTAGTGTGTATGCTGCAGGTGGTGTAGTGTGTATGCTGCAGGTGGTGTAGTGTGTATGTTGCAGGTGATGTATTGCGTATGTTGCAGGTGGTGTAGTGTGTATCTTGCAGGTGGTATGGAGGAAACACTGGGTTGGTGTGAGCCAGGGATCAAGACCATCTGCCTACAGCTGGTGCGGAAGCTACCTGTACACAGTGGCCCTGGCTATCCTGTTACTATTACTCCCACAACCACGCCCATCACCACCACCATGTCCACTAGTACGCCCACTACTACCCCGAACACTCCGCCTACAACCACGCCATCGCTGGTGTGGGTGATTCAGGTAAAGTGACACGTGTGTATATATATAAACGATCCTTTCCAGTTTCATTCATCCTTCACTCACTCTAACCGAATTGATATCACAAAATATTTCAAAAATACTTAGAATTCTGGGAACTAATATTTCAGGTAAGCCTGGACTTCCACCCACTGAAACTAAGGATCACCCGATGATTAGACACCTAAGCTTATTTCACCTGAAGTATCAGGGTGGACACTGGACACTATATAATATCAATACAGATCAAAATTATTATTTAACCCCCCAAAAAGTTGGCAACTACGGGGCAAGTAGGGGTTTAAAATGAACCAGAACACAGTCCAGTGTTGGTCAAGTCTATCTCTATTGTTGTAACCCCGCACTTGGTGGTGACAGACCAACACGGGCGTGGTGTACGGCGTGTGGGCGGGACAGTGGACAGTTCGTACACTACACCAAGGGCCGAGTGGGCGTGTGACGGGCGTAGCCATGGCGTCCACGCGCGGTTACTTGGCAACCACCACCCACCACCGTTACCTGCAGGTCACAGCGCTTCTTCAGGTTAGTCCAGGTATTTGGTATGATTTGACCTCACCTAACCTATACTTCTTTTCCTTTACTACTGTACTAGTAAGGAGATATTCTCTTCAACACCACCATCACCACCAACACTATAAGGTCCGTGCCTCTTATAACATTTTTCTTTACTCTAATACTTACAACCATTGGTAGCGTGACGAGAGGAGGCTCGTGGGTATATGTAATGGGTATATGAAATGATCTTTTCATCAGTTTTCGAATCGGTGGACGAGGGGCACAATTATGATGTGGTATATCTCGACTTTAGCAAAGCCTTCGACAGAGTCCCCCACGAAAGACTAATTAGAAAGGCAGAAGCACATGGCATCAAAAGTAATATCCTTAAATGGATTAGGGCGTGATTACAGGACAGGAAACAGAGAGTGAGCATTAATGGCACTAAGTCCCATTGGAGCAACGTCACAAGTGGAGTTCCCCAAGGCTCAGTACTTGGACCATTATTATTTATTATATACATAAACGACATAGATATCGGCATAGACAGCAACATAAGCAAATTTGCTGATGACACTAAAATAGGACGTGTTATTAAATCTGACGAGGACTCCACAAAACTACAGGAAGATCTAAACAAATTTTTCGAATGGTCTGAAAAATGGCAGATGAAATTCAACGTGGACAAATGTAAAGTACTCAGTATAGGAGATGTAAACAGGGAAACCAGATACCAGATGAACAACGGTGCCATAGAGAAATCCGACTGCGAGAGAGATTTAGGAGTAATGATAAGTAGGAACTGTATAGATATGTAAATACCAAGATATGTGAACGCTCCTGACGGCAAGACTCTGTTACCATTCATTGTACCATTTATTCACATGTCTGTATTACTATATATTATTATAGCATGTCTGATATCTATGCTTATGTCTAATGCCTATGTCTACTTACTATGCCCCGATGTACCATGTCTGTACCGCACTTGTCAAGTAACTAGAAGATCTCATTTATTGTCCTAGTAATGTCTAGCAACTCTCCCTGCCGAGTTAGCTAAATTCTCTCAGATCGGCTCAGGCCTGGCTACGACAAGGAGTTCTTTTTTGCTTGCTCCTGTTTTTGTACCTGTTGGTTATCCTGCCAAGTCTTCTACTTGTGGAATATATTTACTGCTCGTACTCTGGAGTTTGAAGAACCTTGTCTAGGATTACATCCCACCACAGGAACCTTAAGCCAAGTGAACAATGTGCTTTTGCTCGTAACAAGGCTAATAAAGTACTTGGGTTCATACAAAGGAGTGTTAGTTAAAAGACTAGCGAGGTCATCCTAAAACTGTATCTTGCTCTTGTGAGACCACACCTGGATTACGCAGTTCAGTTCTGGTCACCGTATTACAGAATGGATATAGAATCCTTGGAAAGAATTCAGAGGAGAATGACAAGACTAAATTCAGAGGAGAATGACAAGACTAATCCCGGGCGTGGGAACCTTGAGTATAGAGACAGATTCAAAAAAGCATCTTAATTTGCACTCCTCGAGACGCTGGGGCGAGGGCGACCTGATAGAGGTGTATAAGTGGAAGGCAGGGCTAAACAAAGGGGACATTACAAGGTGCTTAAACTATCAACCAGGAGCAAACTCGTAACAATGGTTTTAAATTAGACAAATTTAGATTTAGGCGTGAAATAGGTAAACACTGGTTTGGAAACAGAGTAGTGGATGAATGGAACAAGTTACCAAATATCATCATTAACTCGAATACGCTGAATAGCTTCAAACATAGGTTGGATGCTTATATGAGCAATAGGGGTTGGGTGTAAACAGGACTGCCCAGTATGGGCCAATAGGCCCGCTGCAGTTTCCTCCATTCTTATGTTCTTATGTAATAGGGGAAGAAATAACAGTGAATACTGGTAAAATAATAGACTGTATACAAATACAATATTTATTTAAACATTAATATGGAGTGGGAGAGAAAGAATATATATGTACCAACAGACGAAATCCTGGTACTATGCCCTCCATGAGCTCAACATACTCTTACCACTACTGGGTGGACATACTCAATAACACTCACACCACTACTGGGTGGTCATACTCAATAACACTCACACCAGTACTGGGTGGACATACTCAATAACACTCACACCACTACTGGGTGGACATACTCAATAACACTCACACCACTACTGGGTGGACATACTCAATAACACTCACACCACTACTGGGTGGACATACTCAATAACACTCACACCACTACTGGGTGGACATACTCAATAACACTCACACCACTACTGGGTGGACATACTCAATAACACTCACACCACTACTGGGTGGACATACTCAATAACACTCACACCACTACTGGGTGGACATACTCAATAACACTCACACCACTACTGGGTGGACATACTCAATAACACTCACACCACTACTGGGTGGACATACTCAATAACACTCACACCAGTACTGGGTGGACATACTCAATAACACTCACACCAGTAATGGGTGGACATACTCAATAACACTCACACCACTACTGGGTGGACATACTCAATAACACTCACACCACTACTGGGTGGACATACTCAATAACACTCACACCACTACTGGGTGGACATACTCAATAACACAAACTCTTACAGTATCTTAGCACCATTAAGACCAGGGGCAACTGCCACTACAACACTCAGTCGTCAGGAGTGATACTCAAGCACCCGCCATGGGGTCCTGCCACCATGGGGTACTTTCCAACGAAATCTGAAGATCCCAGTGGAATAACACCACCACACAAATAGCCCTACTGAGTTAGACACTCATCCACCAATGATGGGGGCTGGTAGTTGTGTGTGGCTTGGTGATCCGGGGGTCACCTCGCGGGCCTAGCGTTAGGGTCAGACTGGCCAGCTAAGGGGCCCATAGGTAGTCTGAAGTGTCTGATGGTCGGGTCTCACGAAGGTAACTGATCCTACTGGACCTCGGACATCTCCCCAGACATAGTGGATACAACATCCACGCTACAGACACGGCCTAGGCTGCGTTAGGGACCTGTATGGGTGAAGGGGCGGGCACTTACTAACGGTTGAAATGCCCGCGGCACCCTCACTCAAAATAGGTCAGGGAGTCCACCTACTTCTATTTCAATGAATTAATTTACTGTACACTCTGACGTTGAAACTGAGACTATGAACTCAGTTTCCTTCCCTACTATTATCTTCACTAACAATGCTCTGCCTGAGCTATCAAAAACAAAATTAAATTGATTACAAAGGGTTGGATGGCAACAGGTCCCAACATACAGAGTCTTGCTACGAAATCCGCCGATTATATTCAAAGTTCCCTTTAGACAAAGACGGCCTATCGATGACGTCCTCAAGGAAACAGAGAAAACGGGGGGCGTTTCCACTGGGGG